TAGTTTTTATTATTTGTTAATTAAAAAAAAATCAAAACAAAATCACTCATTTTATCATTTACAGTCGCACCCCTCTAAGTGCAAGTACTATGTAAAACCTCTCTAAATGCACAATCATGTTTGGTCCCATCTTATAAGAATCCTATATATTTTACTCTCTATAAATGCAAACACCCTCTAGGTGCAAAATTTTGATATTTTTCACTATAATCCCGACGAGATGCACTTAGGGAGGTGTGACTGTATATATATTCATTCGAATTATCAATTTCTATTATTTATTAATTAAAGAAAGTTTATTTGGGCAATAATATGGTTCCATCAGTGTAACGTCATACCTGTCGGATAAACTAGTTATTGGCATAATCGACAGGATGATAGCAATGCATGTGGCCGAAGGCCACGTGCTTTTGCTATCATCCTGCCTATCCGTCACATCATGCCAGATAACAAGAATTTATTGAATTTGGTCATGTAGTTGCTGAGATATTTATGTTCAAATGGTTTGTTTTTAAGTGGGGTATGTATGTGGGGTATGAAAATTGGCCCCTTTTTATATCCTCATGAATAATTAGAAAAGATTTTGATTGGTGTTTAAAATTATTTCCTTTCTTCTGGACTAAACAATTCCATAATCCCTTGACTATCTGTATCAAGTATGAACGAATGCGCGAGTCTTGATAAAAGTTTAGATGAGCAAATCATTAGTTTATTACATGTGTATTGGGTAACTAATAACCTGATGAATATAGTATACCTATGTTTCGGAACGTTGACTTACTGCCCAATTATATATGACATCTTCTACATATCTATTTGAAGGAAGTCTCCATTTGTTGTCCATATTTATTGAATTATATCTCAAAATAAAACCATTATTCAGCTTTTTCTCTAGCTTTTTTCTCTCTTTGATCTTTTCATCTTTGTCATCGTCATTTTTTTTCGACATCAGCTTCGTCTTTTTCATCGCCATCGTCACTTTCGTCACCATATTCATTTTTTCATAACAAACCTAGTTGAAAATTAGATATCAACTAAAGGGAATGTACAATACACAAACAAGCCAATAAGAAAATCTAATAAAAGTGTCCGAAGGCATCCTGTCATAGAAATATATATATATCTCTATTAACAACATTTTACATACATTATATTCTACATCTGACATTTCGTCATTGGCCCGCTTGTTATTGGTCTCTATTTGAGGATTCAGCGCAATTTATTCTCTCGATTTTTCTAGGCGTTCTTCTGGGTGGATTCTTTTCTTTCTTTTGTTTATTAATAGTTTCCCCCATTCATTATTCCGTTAACTGTTCCATTTACTGTTCCGTTGATTGATTGGTGTAGATGGACTTGTCTGCATGTATGCTCTTTTCCCAAGACTTTGCGATTTTTTGATCTGGCCTAGGACTCTAACAAAAGGTCTATGTGATTAGTAAAATCTTTGTTCATACTAGAGCTTGGAGCGCTTTTATTTTTCATGTGTTAAAACTGATTAAACCGGTTTTAACATATGAGAAATAAGACCAGTTCCAAGCTCTAGTTGTATTCAATTTAATCTCATCACGTAATCAGCTAACCGAGAGAGCTACCTGATTCAGATAGGTCTAGTGTTAGATCAGCGAGAAACCTTGAATAGCAAGTAACCGAAAAAGTCACTTGAGCTCTAACACCAGTTTGTGGCTCAGCGAGAAACCTTGAATGACAAGGAACCGAGAAAGCCCAAGTCACGCCACTAATTGTCGTTCTTTATCCCTTAAACCGTATATTTTAGCGTACAAATTTGTACGCTAAAATTTTTAAAAGAAAATTGAGCTCTAAAAAAA